AGAGTCATTGATCGGCTGCCTCCTGCAGCCCCCCTTGCTGGGGATTGAGCCCGCAACCCCGGCATGTGCCCTGACTGGAAATTGAACCCCGATTGCCTGGATCCTAGGTCGACTCTCAACCATTTAGCCACACCTGGCCAGGCATAATTTTATTTGCCAATTATATTTCAATAATGCTAAAATAATTTTTTTTTACCTTCCTTTGGTAGTATTTATAGATTTTGAATCTTTTAATTTGTGAATAAAGAAGAATATTGAGTATTTACTTACCATGCCAGGTTTTAAGACCTTTCTGATTTAAGATTTTTTTGGCAGGAGGGGGATTTGGGAGGCACAACATAAAAAAAAAAAACAGCTTCCCTAAGATTTGAATTTTTCTGTGAATGACTTACCGAATGACTTAAGAATAAGCTCAATCATGATTATATGGAATCCACAATTTCTGTGATAGTTCAGATGTTGTTATATATTAACAATATAATACCATCTACTCTGTAAAGGAGAACTGTTTTGAATATTGACAGGTTGCTTAAGGATATGCTAGCTAGCACAGGGCTATAGAACTATGGAACTGACAGATCTATCCTTAGGGCACTATTTAGCATAGGCAAGATAATATGTCCAGTATTAACATAATTGTTTAATCACATAAGCTTTTATCTGCTAATTTCCTCCCCTTCTGAACTTTAAGGGAGGTGGAGTAGAAAAATTTTAAAAATCAATTTTTATTTAAAATTATTCATGTGGATATTTAAAGAGTCCTTTGATTATATAAGGATTATTATAGAAAAACAGTCTCTACTTTCTTTCTGCTTGGGATCAACCTCGTTGCTCTCTCCTGTGGCCCTGATTGGTGTGGTGTGCCTCCTTTTCTTGGGTACTATTCTCGCCACCAAGCACAGTCCTGCCTTGTCCCAGACCACCATGGTGAAATTAATTCAACAGTCGTGCTCATTGACCCCATCAGCTAAAAGAAGCTGGGATGGTGAAAATGTGCTGCCACAGAATTGAATAGTTGTCACCAAACATGTTGGGGAGTAAGCCAAGCGCTCATGAGATAGAAGTAACCTTCAGTTAGGAAGCCAGGAGCCCAAAAGGAGAGAATCATTGTCTGCATGCTTTCTAGGCTAGTCATCCTCACAAGACTCTTCATGTTTCTTCATTTGTTCTTTCAACAGGGATTTCTTGAATACCTACTCTATACTAGGTAGGCACTTTGCTGGTGTGGGGATAGAGTAGTGAATATCACTGACCCTGTCCTTGTCAAACAAGAAAGTCAACAGACATTGGCGACACATTGTAATGAATGTCAACGTAGGAGAAGAGCTGTGGAAGTCATAGCAAGGTTATCAGGCATCAGAGGAGGCATCCCAGGAAGTAGCATGTGAGCTGGGGCCAGAGACAAATAGAAATTAGAGTGTTAAAAAGTGGTGGTTGGGGTGGGAGTGGGAGTGGGGAAGAGTTCTAGCTCTGTGAAATAAATTGATAAAGGCTTGGAAATGAAAGAGAGCAGTGAGCTTGACTGGTATTCAGATACCTCTGGGGCTTCATGAATACTTCCAAAGGCCTGTGGCATGTATGGTTAAGGGGATCACTTTACAGATCTTCAGGTTCTATATGTGCTCTTTCTCAAGATGATCTGCTCAAGAACATCCTGCGGTAGAGAGCCAGCCCTTCCCACCTTAACCTTCAAATCACTCTTCCACCACTTTGTACATTTTTTATGCACCCATCCTGAATATTGCCAAGACACATTGTCAAGTTTGGGGTGAGGATAGGATCAAACAAAAAAACAACCCAAATATTGGTGTCTGCAAAGGCTCCATTATTCAGCACCCTTAGTGTTTATAGACTTTTTCCTGCCTTATATGTGTTGTTGTTAGGGGTGAGGTATTTAGACTTCAGTTACTTTGTTCTGAATTCAGCACAATTATAAAAGTGATGCAGTAGGAGTGATGGAATATTTGCAAGGTTTGTTGCCAATACCATCCCCAACTACTGTCAAAGAATTCATTGCCTCTAAGGGAAGGTTCTGTGAGAAGCAAAAGAATGTCAGTAAGAAATACTGAAGTCAATGGTGACTTATTTCACCCAGGTGGCAAAGTCAGGGTGACTTTTATCTATCTATCTATCTATCTATCTATCTATCTATCTATCTATCTATCTATCTATCTATCATCTATCTATATTCATATTTTATCTATCTCAGGAAATGGAGGAAATGGGCAGTGACTGCTAATGGGTATGGGTTTTCTTGGGGAAATGAAAGTATTCTAAAATTGATGGTGGTGGTGATTGCACAACTCTGAATATATTAAAAATCTATAGGTTGTATACTTTAAATAGGTGAATTGTATGGCATGTAAATTGTGCTTCAAATAAATATACATATACCTTATGACACCCTTGTCCCTCCCAAAATAAAATATTCTCTTGATTTTCCAATCTCCAAAATTCTCATTCCATAGTCAACTTCTCTCAGCTATTTTTAATGGATTTAAAAATTTTGTTTCCCTAAATCTGGATAACATACTAATATTGTTACCTTTTGATTCTTTCAGTTTTATGCATCACCTATTGACTTTCTGGAAGATAAGATTATTGCTCTCTTTTTCAGCCCCTCTTCCATATCCCATCATGTAAAAGCATATTTCCCTGATACCCTTACAATATAGTCATAATTTCAGTTACATCATTGTGCAGTGTTTTAATTTTTGACTGAATAAAAACTATTCATAGGCTAAGTTGTTTTCTATATTAACTTTTCTTTCTTACAAAGCATTTTATTTTTCATGTAGTTAATAATCACATTAAAAAAACTGAGATAATTGTAGATTCATATGCACTTGCAAGAAATGATAGAGAAAAATCCCCTGTATATTTTGCCCAGTTTCTCAGTGGTCACATTTTATGGAACCATAATATAATACACTATCACAACCAGGATATTGACATTGATACAGTCTTATTCATGTCCTGTTTTACTTGTTTACTTGTACCCAGTTTTACCTGTGTGTGTGTATGTATATTAAGGTCTGTACAGTTTGATTGCCTGTGTAGGTCCATGGTTCCACTACTGCAGTCAGTATTTTGAACATTTCTAGTTCCACCAAGATGTCTTGTGTTACTCTTTTTTTATAACTACATCTTTCTTCCCATTAACCCCATGCCTAACCCTTGGCAACCACTAATCTGTTTTCCTTTTCTGAAATTTTGAATATTATATTAAATGGAATCATAATATGTGGAACCTTTTGGGATTGGCTTTTGTATGCTCATCATATTCCCTGGAGATTTAGGTTTTTGTGTGTACGAATAGTTTGTTCTTTCATATTACTGACTAGCATTCCTTGGTGTAGATGTACCACTGTTTAACTACTCACCTGTTGCAGGACATCTGGGTCATTTCCTGTTTGGGGCTATTGCGAATAAAGCTGCTATAAACATAAGACATTAGTGTACAGGTTTTTTGTGCAAACATAAATTTTCATTTCTCTAGAATTAATGCACAGGCATGCAGTTGCTGGGTTGTATGGCAGTTTCATGTTTAGTTTTCAAATGTACTGCCTAACTTTTTCAGAGTGGCTGTTGCATTTTGCAACCCCACAGGAGTCTAGTTTTTCGGCATTCTCACTAGCATTTGGTATTGTTAGTGTGCTTTTTATTTTAGCCATTATGATAGGCGTATAGTTATATCTCTTGTGGTTTTAGTTTGCATTTCCTAATTGCTAATGTTGTTGAACATCTTTTCATGTGCTTTTTAACCATTTGTTCATCCTCTTATAATAGTTCATGTCATTTGTCCCATTTTCTAATTGGATTTTCTATTTTTTTTTTTCTCGATTGATTTTTAGAGACGGAGGAGAGAGAGTGAGGGAGGGAGAGAGGGAAGGAGGGAGAGACAATGCTTTGTTGTTGCACTTATGCATTCATTGGTTGATTCTTGTATGTGCCTGACCTGGGATAGAATATGCAACCCTGGAGTATCGAGTTGGTGTTCTAACCAACTGATGTAAAGAATATGACATCTACTGTGTTAGTTACTTTTTAACTTATATTTGCTTCTGGGGAAGGAAAAATATTCAGTGCCTTTTTTCTAGGGATAAACTATTCAGAGTCCAGGATCATCTAACAAGCACAGTATTTGGTGATCTTAAGTCTAAACTTAATGAAGTGCTTGATTTTGAAATACATGGTGGTGTAACCTACATCTTGATGCATATTTTTCCCCATATAAAAATACAGGAAAAAAATAGGCTTAAATTTTAATTTTAGTCTTTAGAGTGTATTTTATCCTCACAATTGGGAAGTAATACCATTATTTATTTGCTGTTTTTATATGACACACTCTTGCATAAATGTTAAGTAACTAAATGGCTACACAGATACACTGGCTGGCTGTGAATGGGCGGACAGAACTACTTCATGACCTCGTACAGCACGTCAGTGACGTCGATGTTGAGGACGCAATGGGGCAGACAGCGCTGCATGTGGCCTGCCAGAATGGTCACAAGACGGTAAATTCAGCTGTGAGAACTTTATGTTACATGTGCTTATTTTTGAAAACTGAATTTGTGGAAAGTTTTTCACTGTGCATAGTTGGAAACATAAAGCATCAAAACAAAATCTTGTTAAAACATTTTCTGCATTATACAGACCTTTGATTAATGTATTTTATGTGGAAAAAAGGAATAGAAAATAGTGCTTTTAATTCTGTTTAAAACATTTGTCATTTGGATTTCAACTTTATTTCTGATTCATAGATTTTTTTAAATAGCTGAATATATTAAAATTTTAAATGTATGTTCACATTTAATTTTAGCAATTATGTTTCGTTCTCGGTTTTATCAACTATTTCATTTTTTCTTTTAGTTTTTACTACTAAGACTCAGTTATTAGGATTAGATAGTAAAGTGAATACTGACAGTGCTTAAATAGTTCAACTTGGGTTATCATATTTGTTTACTGTCTTGGAATATTATGCAAACACTAGAATGACAGTTTTTTTTTCTGACTTTAGATTTCTAAAATCATGCATTTGTTTTATAGCAATACTTTTTTGTTATTCCTGTGTACAAGCATTTGGCTTTTAAAATTGCTAATGGTTTTCTTTCTCATTAGGAAATTTTGCTGCCTTCTATAAAGGTTGTTAACTTAAGATTATAGATGAATTTCTGCTTTGCTGTAATTTTCTGGTTACTTTCAGGTTTTTGCCCCACATGTGCTATTATCGATAATAGAATGTTATTTACTTCCTAACCATAACAATAACAACAACAAAGACCAACCCAAAACAAAAAATCACCACCAATAACTACAAAGATAAACGATTTGTTTGTTTATATTTATTTTTTTGGTATACTGTTTGAATCTTCTCTTTTTTGGAAGAATTCTTAGTGGAATCCTGGGTTTCCATCTCTGCAAACACTTTCTTCCTAACCTGTGTTCAGGATGTAGGATCCTGCATGTTCAGAGGCTTTCAGTATGACCTCATTTCACAGAATATTTCACTTCTTTAAAATAGTGAGGCTAAGGTTGACATTATCTTATATTCAATAAGAGTTTGATAAAAGGAGGGATGTAGGACTGTTTTTTTTCTTACCTGGAATTTTTTCTGAACATCATTGTTTGTTTTAATTTTTTTGTCTTTTATCATCTGAAAACTAACCCAGTGTTTTCAAGGAGTATTCCTTCTCATTAGTTTTTACTTCCTCAGAGTCTGGACTATTAAATTTAAAAAATATTCTGTATGATAAAAAAACTATCTGAAATGTTCTACTCTTGAGTGGCCCGGGTTTTTAAGTGACTCTTGCATATTAGAGAATGAGTCCTGCTGGTAGCTCTCACAGGGCAGAGCAGCATCTACTTTAATAAAAATACTGTCTGTTGTAACAGATACGTGGAGTGTCGTGTTCTAAGATTACAAACCCTACCTGTTGCCCAGAAACTTGTGTAGGAAAAAACTGGGATTCAGATTAGAAATGATCTACAAAAGCTAATTTTAGCTGCCTTGAATCAGTGAAGAGGCAAGAATTACATAGAAAATCTTGTTTCAAAACATATGCATTACAGACTGCATTAGAAATTTAGAATTGCCCTCTGAAGTTATTGAAAGGTAGTTAGTATAAGTATAATATATTCCATATGGTTCACAACCTAAAGCAGGTGTGGTAAAGTAAGGGAGAATTCCTCATAGCCAAATGCCTTTGAAGAATTGTATTCTCAGAAGATTTATAGGGAGCCTGACTTCACTGTGGTGATGAGTTTTACAGGGTGAGATTTTGCAGATATAGTAGAGGAGGAAGTGTACAAAAAACCATCCTGACTTGTGGTTGATTGTATTAGTGAGTGAGATTCCATTCTGTCATAGTTGATCAGTTATGATTATCTGCAAGGATCATATACAGAATGTTTAAAACTGTTTTCTGAATCATTGAATTTATCTTTAATCCTTCTTCAATTAGGGCAAGAAGGAATCTTGAAAAATTAGTCTATCTTCTAGCCTGTGTTGACAGTTGTGCTAATATTACCTGTGTCTCATAATCACTCACATATTTCTGGTCCGTGTTCAAAGTTCAGTAGATAAGCATATCCTTTTATCTTGAGTTGGATATGATTTATTGGGTTATGAGATCTGATAAGTTATTACAGGTTAGGGATTATTGATTTTTTTTAACCTTTTGTATATCTTTCCATAAGTTGAATACTGAGTCTAAATGCTTTTCAGGTATCATAGTGACTTATTTTAGTGGCAAGTGAAAATAGCCTTTTCAATGTCTTAAAGTAGCCAGTTCTTATGTAAAGTCATTAAAAGGTATTCAAAACTGGTGTCCATGTAGACATAGGTTTCAAGATTTCAGTTTATGTTTAAGGTTAAAAGCTTGCATGTTGATTATGTATTTTTATAAAATGAAATATAAAACTTTAGAGGGGGAAAGAAACTTTTAAAACATTTTAAAAAGCATATAATTTCTTTTCAAATTAAGGAAACAGATATGATAAAGAAATACTCCAAGTTCTAATCTGATCTCATTTTAGGGTAAATCTCAAAGGGGCATGATATGATTTTGAATAACTAGCTATGAGCTCCTAAGCTTTGTAGAATTTGTAATTGAATACTATATTTTTGCTGTAATGACAAGAAATGCCTTTCAGATTTACATTATTTTTTTAAAGTTAAAAGATTTGGTGTATTCATTTTTGTCATAACTGAGAAATTAATAATCTTTGCTATGATTTCATATAATGCCTCTGTTTCATTAGCAGTAAACCAAGGTAAAGGTCTCATCATCCTCTTGCTGGAAGGAAGTGGTTTGGGTAGTTGAAGAGTACATTCCGGTCTTTTATTTGTCCTTGGAACATAATAGCACTGTGATTTCAAACTACTTCTATTCCTATTTATAAGTGATGAGGTCAAAGAAATGATCATAACAGTTCCTGAATAATGTATTTCTTTATAACTTTCCTTAGGTCAGTTGTTAATTAGTGGTAGCATACTAAAATTATGGCTTGGCTTTCATTATTGATTTAACAAATCATTCCAGAGTTTGATTATTCAGCTGGCTTATTATATAACCTTTGGCAGCTTTTTCTTCCCCTGCCTTATGTACCTCCTAAGGAATATTCTGTTTACTGATTACATAATTAAGAAAAGTGTTGTGAACACATTGGAAGACACTTCAGAGCACTAATAGTATTGACACTATTACTGCCATTATTAATATGGATGATGTGATTCTGCAAGCAAAGTATAGAGAGCAGTCTCTGGATCCTTAATTGATTTACTCTTGTGCAGTAAGCTATTGTGTTGTTTGAGTTTTAATCTCACTTTTAGAAAGAGTAGTGAAACCTCATATTATTCTACATGGCTATAATTGACTCCAGATTTTTTGTCTGTATTGAATGAACTTTTTGGTACCTTTTTTTTGTTTGTATTTAGTTAAATTTTATTAATGTGTTGAATTGCCACAAATAGTGGCTTACTGTTTTCCTGGAATAGCTTGGGTTTAGAAACCCTAGAGAACTGTCATATGGTTCAGTCTCAATTTACATAAGTTAGAGTACACAGCAGGATTAGTATATGGATGAATTTCAATTTACTTACAAAAGAAATTTTATTTATGGCAGAATAAGTTTTATATTGCTTAATTTATACAGCTGAATATGAAGCTTCACAAACATATAAAATAGTAGGTGAACCCTACTTAGAGTAGATTTAAGCTCCTGAAACTTAAAAGCAGTCCTTTGACCCGGTGTTATAGACTATCTTTGATAGAACTAACTGCATTTTTTTGCTGAATTTGTAGGCTTGTTAAGGAACAGTGCTCACCTATGTTCAGTTAGCTCTCTTAATATCTTTAAAAAAAAAATCTTTATTGTTGAAAGCATTACAGATGTCCTCCTTTTTTCCCCCATTAACCCCCTCTACTACACCCATTCCCCCCCAGGCCTTCACTACACTATTGTCTGTGTCCATGAGTTATACTTTCTTTTTTTAAAAAAAATATTTTTAATATGTTTTTGATTTTTAGAGAGAGAGGAAGGGAGAGGCATTGAGAGATAGAAACATCGATGAGAGAGAAACATCATCAAATTGGCTGCCTCCTGCATGCCTCCTGTGAGGATTGAGCCCACAACCTGGCATATGCCCTGGCTGGAATCGAACCATGAGCTCTTGGTTCCTAGGTTAATGCTCAACCACTGAGGCACACCAGCCCAGCAGGTTATGCTCTCTGGATAGCTTTTAGCCAGCTTCCAAGCTTTTCCTCCAGAGATTATAGGACAACCATGCTTAACGGAAAGCTTTTCAAAAACATTAATTGGATTAGCATTGAGGCACAAAGGTGGGTAGACTAACATTTCATATTTTTTGTATTTTTAGGTTTAGAGTAATTTTATTCTAATGTTAGACTTCTCCTTTATCACTTCTAGGAAATTTGAGCAAATAATAGAAAGTTCCCTTTTTCTGATTTTTTTCACACAACTGGGTAATATTAATTTTTCTTTTTTTCTAGATATTACATAAGAGGTCAAAGTCTTGATAGTTTTATGTGGACAGCTTTCTAGAGAAGACCTATATAAACTAGTCACTGATTAGTGAGTTGGCTGTTTTTCTTAGTGCTTAAGTTATTTACGCATTGCTATTAAGTGATTTCATCAGAGTTTTTTTCTAATGTTCAGAATTTTTAAAATTTAATTAAATTTGTTGGTTAATAACACTGGTTAATAACCAGAATTCTTTTCAATAGAAGATGAAACAAAGATGCTTGCCTTTTTCTGTTGTTGTTTGGTTTTTTAGCAAATGATAGTACCATAATAGATTTTACTTGTAGTTTTAGTATTGAATATCTATTCCTTTTTACTTTGATCAGTGTTGTTTAGAGCGTTGACATTGATAAAGTAGAGCTGCCTTGGATTTCTTACTTTGTAATTTATCAGTGTATTGGGCACAGGTGGTCTTTGTTAGTCACTGCCTTCAATTAAATGACTTCTGTGATTGACCCAAACATTAGCTTTG